TTTTTTTTGGTAACTGTTAAAATAGGAGTAGGTTTCTTGTTAATGTTTAATTTCTGTAGGTACATAGTAGGTGTATATATTTGTGGGGAAACAGGCTTCTTATACCCATTTAACATATGAAAAAAAAGAGATTGAGAGATTAAGTAGCTTGCCCAAGGTCGATAGCTACCGAATCAGGATTTAAATCCAATGAACTGCTCAGGCTAATACTAAAATCAACACTAAATCTTCTCCCTACACTGCCTTTTGCATGGATAAAGTCAGCAAACTCCTTCTGCAGGGGATACTGACACAAAGCAAGATCTACATTAAAAGCGTACTTAAAGCAATGAAGTTCTGGTTTAGAAATAGGCAGATTGATGGAACAAAGTAACATGTAAAGAAATATACTTGAACACATATATAAGAATTTATATAATTTAATGTGGTACTTCATATTGTTTGAGTAGGCAGATAAGCTAGATATGAGCAGGAGGGGGAGTCCCCTGAGAAAAGGGAGGTTTGGAAAAATCTCATACCCCAGAGACCACCCAAAATACGCATCCTAGCTATGAGCAGAGAGGAAGAGAAATACATATGCAGAAAGAGACACCCCTTAAGACTCCCAGTAATCACTCACGCTGCAATTAACCCATCAGAATGTAGGGGAAAGAGGGAAAAAGGAGAAATTTTTGCACTTGTTGCACCTAAGAGATACACAGATGCAATAAATACAGATTTAACCACTTACCAACCTTGCTCAGGTGGTGATAATGAGTAATGCAGGATTATGTAGAATTCACATTTAACACTGGCCAGTATATACAGGTGAACTAACCGTAGAGGAGAATCCCACAAATTTGGGGTGGAAACTAGGTGAGGGAAAAGGTGGGGACTTAAGGCAGAAGTGGGAACTAGACAAAGACAAAGGCAGAGACTTGAGGCAGAAGCAGAAACTTGAAGAAACAGTGCCATGATAACCACAATGCAGAACTCCCAGGGCTGCCGCTGGCTTATTCCCTCTTGAACAGCCTGCTCTGCTTCATCTTTCAGCATGCACTGTCTCTGCTTCTACCCAACCCTTGCTGCTACTACTCCTGTTTCTCCAGCTAGACCAGCCTGCTCCTCTCCTGGAGTGCCCTTAGTTCAATCAACTCTGTAATCTTTATTTGCTTTCAATAAATCTTTTGCTTACATTACTAATTGGCCTCTTGGCTAAATTCTTCTCCAAAGCAAGACAAGAACTGAGGATTCCTGCACCTCCTGGTAACAAAATCATTAGGAAAAGTGCCCAATATTAAATAAATATATGGAAATCAATGGCTGTTTGGGAGAAAAAATAAAGTTAAAGCCCTATTTTTTTTATTTTTTTAAGTGTACTTCTAGTGAGCTCTGAGTGTTTTACAGACTATATATACTCTGCCCCATTTGTGGGGATTATTAATTTTTCCAGAGAATTTATGTGGAGAATATTACTTTCAGAGGATGTATCACAAACGAACGTATTTTTGTTAAAAATGCTTTGGGAATAGGATTTGTAAAATCCTATTCCCAAAGGAGAAGAGAAAAGAAGAGAACAATGTGGTTCTTTTGAGTCTCATGAACACACAGCAAGACATGTATTCCCATTAACTCTCTAGGCCATGAACTATGTGTGCTCCCTTTCTAAGAAAGGGGGCGGGGGAAGGACATTGCAATAAGGTCATGGGATTGAAAGAGCTACATTTAGACACAGCTGTTTTGGGGTCAAGGTCAAGCAGGACAAAAATGGAAGAGAATAAGGAAAAATGAAACAACACAAGGAGAAGAAGAACTTGGCCACACCTGAGAGAAGAATCTTTCCTTAGCCACAGCGGAAAAGGGGAAAGGGCTAGCCCAGAATCTCAGAAAGAAGAGATAGGAATGATAGAGGGTAACATGGCATTTAGTTCTGTTCCTCCTGGCTTTCTCTCTTTCAGCTCTGTTATTACCATTTTACTTAAAAAAAAATTTTGTTGGATCATTTATAGTCTTATAAAGTAGCTCAAATCTTTTATGGGACTAAGTAGGTTATAAATACATACTTTTAATGTAAATATTTATAAAAATATTACACTTACACATATTCATGTATAATATTTATAAATACATAAATTTAAAAATATATATTTATTTAGAAGTTAATGTATATTATAATATATATATATCTCATTCCCGAATTTGGGTTTAGTAGTTCTCAAAAAATGATTTTTTTGTCTTTATAAAGTCCTCAGGATAAGAAATCCTTCCAGATACTCTTGCATGTAGATTCCTAAGCCAGGGAGTGTGGTAGACCCCACCTGATCACTAGTGTCAAGAATTTGGTACTCAATGGGGTAGGAGTTGGTTGACAGTGGAAGGGGTGAGAGCAAGATGGTAACACCATAACTCTGACTGGGAATGCCACTTTTGACACTGGCACAAAATAAAGCATGTTGAACATACAAGTCATCACCTATAAGTCAACTTCTTGAAAGTTTAAGATTGTCACAAGGCTAAGAGTTGGGTTGGAGATTTGGCAGAGTTGGTAGTAATTTTTGTGTCTAAGGACAGAGAGATCTGAGTTACATAAACAAGAAGTGTTCACTATGAACTGAAATAACCAATTCATGGGTAAGGAGACTGTGGCTAGAAATTCTAGGGTACATGAGTGTTTTCTAGATAATGGTAACTGTGGCTCATTGGAGCAAGAGTAGTGCCAGTGAGAGTGGTGCCTTTTACCGAATCTTCCCATCTGGGGGTAAATGGCCATTCATGCTGCAACCCAGTTATTCTAGCTCCTTCTCAAAGGATGGCGAAGTGCCAGAGGTAGGTGAGGAGTAAGAATACAGGTACAGGTAAGATGTTCCCTCTTTGTGTGTTAATTATGCTGTGACATAATGAAGTAGGATTTAGATGGAACTAGTGTATGGTGTGCCTTTCTTTTTATAGCTACAGGTACTAAACAACAATGGGTGAAGCAACACTGTGGATATCAGAATTTGATGATGGTGAAGGAGGCATAACTCAACATTTGCTGTTCTAAATTCCTGTATTTTGCTATTTCCCCCCAATCCATGGTGGTTTCTCAGTAATAAATATACTACTACAAATAATAATAGTGTTATTTCTATGATTTTATTGAATGCTTATTAACATCTTCACATGCCTCATCTCATTTAATTCTCACAAATGAGGCAGGTGACAGATCCAGGATTTAAAAATAGTTCTGCACACAGATTGTAATGCTCTACTAATGATTCTTATCAGTTGGTTGCATGTTCACAGTTCACCCATTTATTGATTTATCCTATAGATACTGTTTTTAGTCCTTACTGTAAAAAATATTACATACAAACAAAGCAGGGCTATCTCAGAAGAGCAAAAAGCATCCCTTACCTTGATTCTTTCCTTCCTCCTTTTTTCCCTCTCACCCTTCATTAAAAAATTATTCAATAAATCCCTTCTTTGTGCTAAGCACCCTGCTAGGCATTGCAAATAAAAATCCATGTGCTTCTAGAATTCATAATTTAGCCAGAAAATTAAAAGCATATAGATAGATAACTATAATTTTATATCTTTTACATCTCAAATCTCAGTAGCACAGATAACATCGATTTGCCTACTTTTTACATCTGGCTTAACACACAGAATATTTTGAAGATTTTCTATCTATCATATCAGACTCTTCTATATACTTTTATCTTGGCACTTACATTTTATCTTGCCTACTTAATAAGCATTTCATAGATATAAAGAAAATCTTTGGTAAAATCTACAGAGCAGGCTGGGAGTGGTGGCTCACACCTATAATCCTAGCACTTTGGGAGGCTGAGGTGGGCAGATAACCTGAGGACAAGAGTTTGAGACCAGCCTGGCCAACATAGTGAAACCCTATCTCTACTAAAAATATAAAAATCAGCTGGGCATGGTGGTAGGTACCTGTAATCCCAGCTACTTGGAAGGCTGAGGCAGGAGAATCACTTGAACCTGGGAGGCAGGGGTTGCGGTGAGCTGAGATCACACTACTGCACTCCAGCCTGAGCAACAGAACAAGACTCCATTTCAAAAATAGAAAAAAAAATCTACAGAGCAGAAGCTAGAAGAAAAAATAAGTCTTGGGTCAAAACAAGCATCTGAGATTCAGGGGAGATTAGAACTGCTCTTTTGGAACTTAATAGGTCTGAGAGGATACATGTGCAGACATGGGAACAGGTCAACGTTCTTGATGGGACATGTGTTGGGGGGAGGGAGGGAGAAAGAGAATCAGATAATGACAGGAGCAGCTTTCTCCACCTAGGTCATATATCCTCATAATGAAGTTTTCTCTTATGATAAGAAAAGTTGTGATTTTATAGAATATCTATACATCTTTGAATTTAAGTTTAAAAGAAATTTAAATTCTGCTGAATTATCTTTGGATTATCACTATTTAATAAATATAATTATAAAAATCTATATCCAAATATAGGACATATATGAATAGGCTTCAGGGTATCTGTGAACCCTTGAAATAATATGTAACAGTGTGTTTTTCTTTTTTTGTTTTTCTTTTATTTTTTTTGGAGACGGAGTTTCACTCTTGTTACCCAGGCTGGAGTGCAATGGCGTGACCTTGGCTCATGGCAACCTCCGCCTCCTGGGTTCTGGCAATTCTTTTGCCTCAGCCTCCTGAGTAGCTGGGATTACAGGCAGGCGCCACCACGCCCAGTTAATTTTTTTTTGTATTTTTAGTAGAGACGGGAGAAAGAAAGGTCTCGACCAGGATGGTCTCGATCTCTTGACCTCGTGATTCACCTGCTTTGGCCTCCCAAAGTGCTGGGATTACAGGCGTGAGCCACCGCGCCTGGCATGTTTTTCTAGACTTCATGAAATGTAAACCCAGGACCTAAAATGATTAAGGACCAATAAATAGATAATTAAAATTTGAGACATGTAAAATTTGAGCCCCATAACCAGGGACATTTTTTCCCTCATAAATTAGAGCTAGCAGCATACAAACCTGACATAAATACTGTACTTACATCAAGAGCCACAGATTGCTTGGCCCAGGATTTCTTCACTTGATCATACATAATTGTGTTGTTGATGCCAAGTCCACAAAAGATGACAAAAGCCTAGGAAAGGACAAACCTGCTAATTAAACATTGCGACAACTCATTGGTAAAATCTAATATGAAAGCAGGGAGTCACCAGGGATGGATCTGAAATACAATCTTATTGTACACAGAGGTAGGCCTTGGGAAAATAAGCATATTAAAATTCTTAATTACTATTATTATATAACAACTTTATAGCTTACACTGCTCGTGAGAAAAAATTATGAATTTAATGTCATTGTAGTGAAACTACTTCATATGTTTAAACATACTCATAGTCTGTTTAAATGGGTTCTTAATTTATTTAGGTTGTGGATTGATTTTAGTAAATCCATTCTATTTAACCAAAGCAACCTCTTTTAGTTGCTAGGCTATACAATATTTTGGTAAAAAGCTAAATTAATGTAACCATAGGGTGTTAAGGGGAAGGAGGACTGAGTTAGAACTATTAATAAAGAAGCTATGAGGTATTCTTGACTAGAGAAAGATAATCATGAGTTTTCATGTTGGCTACTGGTACAGTCTATGAGGAAGCCCATTCAAGGCTGACCTCTTAAGCTAGAGAGCCTGGAGTGAATGAGCAGAAGTGCATAAACAAGAGAAAAGTGAGGGCGGTACCCCTGACAGAGCTGGCTTAGGGTTTCATGACTCTGAACACACATAAGCAAGACAAGAATAAGACAATAACACTTTGGGGAAAAGAGAGGGAAATTCTGTCATAAAGCTAGGATAAAAATAATGGATGGTTACAAAATGATCCAATTCATAAAAAATGGGATCAAATCTCACTTAAGCATTTATACATTCCTTAAATCTTCCTGTAAATTCTGTCCTCCATTTAAGCATAATAATAATTGATTAATAATTATTTGTCTTTTCAAATTTGGGCACGCTTCAACCAGGGGACTATTGATGATTCTGTATAAACCTTGGTTTATACATTTATTTTCTTACCTCAAAAAGTCGTTGATCTGCATCATCAAAAGGTTTCCCATCAAGTCTATTTAACACTTGAGCCACTCCTGTGGGAAAAGAGTGAATGACGTGGTCATTTTTAGTACCGGCCATTGTGTTTCTCTAATAGAGTAACCCACAGCTAACTCTATGCCTCCTTTGGTAACTACACTCAGTTTAAACTCTAGTCTCTCAAGTACCTGCTGATTTCATGAGAATAAATCTGAGGTGGGCAGTCTATCTTCAAGGCTGATTTAGTTAGACTAGATCTCAGTAGAGTTTGGAGTTCTACCAAGGCATTAATCTGATTCTAGATGACTAGTTACAGTAACTTGAATATATCCCCCATATATTTATATGTATGTTTGTGGGTGTGTGCTTATACATATATATATATGTATAAGCACACACACAATTATATATACAACCTAGTATATATGTAACTGAATATGTGTGTATTCAGTTACATATATATCTTTCAACTGAATATATATATATGTGTGTGTGTGTGTGTGTGTGTGTGTGTGTGTGTGTGTATATATATTTCATTTTCTGAATACCTCTCCATACTTGAGAGGGGCAGTATGGCATCATGACTAAGAACAAAAGCGTTGGACTTAGATGGTCTGGGTTCAAATTTTAACTCCACCACCAGGTGTGTGACCTTGGGGACGTTAGCTAACTTTTTTAGCACTCAGTTTCCTCATCTGTAAATTGGAGATTAAAATGTTAACTATCTAAGAGGGTTATGACGATTAAATGAGAAAATGTTAGAATGTTTGTAAAGCATTTAGCATATTGCTTCATTCAGAGTAAATATTCAGGAAATGTTAGGAATTACTACAAACAATAAAAGTTGATTAATACAGTTAACCCTCAAAGCAAGGTTAGTTCTGTTGCCTGCTACCAATGGGGTACATGTGATTCTAAAAACCTAATTTATGAGTGGTTACTGTTTCCAAAGTTCACTTTTAGCATTAAACCAGGTGTTTTAGGGCATGACTTTCAAATCACACAAGTTTAACGAGAAAAATCAACTATCTTGAAAACCATTAGCCTTTGTCTTCATTTAGCACAGAAAAACAAAAAACCCGCTATAATTCTAAAATATGCTCGTATTTTTAAAAACACCCAACTTCCCACCTGGGAGGTAAGTCATCCTATGCTAGAAGATATATATATATAATGAAACACAAAACTATTAGCATGTAACAAGGCAAACTATGGTTCTCATTTTGAAGTAATAATGGATGTTTACTATTAGGATTGAAATGTAGGACTGTGAGATTGCCATGGAATATCAACAGATAACACATGGTGTTTCTTATAAACTTTCTCTTTAAACATAAATTTATTTAAAATTCTGTGCATAATGTGGTTTAATTCTTTGTACTAGAAGCTTAGATCCCAAATCTTAGAATATTCTTCATCTTCAATAATGTACCAATATTTTTATGCAGATTAAGCTGATGAAAAAATTATCTCAGAATTCAGATCTTGACAACACTCACAGAATATTAAATCCTTTAATAAGCAGCAGTGTTTTAGACTTTAACAGGCAATTTTAGGGGGAAGCAGAGAGAGGCAAATAGATGCATAAGCTACCAAATGAATTAGTGTTCTTATGTCTCTTAGGAAAAAAAAGTCACATTTTTATTGTGTTTCAGTAATTTCAACTAATTACTCCATCCTTCATGACTTCTCTGTTTCAACCATGAATTCTTGCTGGGGCTTCTTTCTTGATTTTGATGCTTTCCTAGTTGAGTCTTTTGAGGAGAAGGAAAGGGGAATGGAGGAAGTAAAAATTGGAAGCTGTTTTTCACCCATGATTCCTTTATTATGGGAAAATCTGGCCTATTTGAGAACTGCCCAGGCAGAAAGATGCATGCTCAGTATATGCCCAATAAATAGTGTTCTTTATTCCTTTGCCTTTATGCCATGTATAAAAGCATGGATATAAACACATTGACATAGTAAGAAAGTCTGTACTAGAAGTTAGGAAGCCTGAGTTTTAATCTTGACCTTCTACCAACTTTGTGGTTTTCTTGAAGTCATTTCTCTCTCTCTCTCTCTCTCTCTCTCTCTCTCTTTAATTTTTTTATCCTCTCTCTCTCTGCCGCTATTTCCACAAGGTGAGGTAAAAGAGTTCTATTGGTTGATAACTCAGATTTTCTTCAACTTTAAAATTTATTGGTTCTTTCGACTTAGTAATTATTTGTTCAAGTTGTGGTTAATGTTGATTCTTTAGGAGTCTGCACTTATGAGATTAGACAAGAGTGTGAGACATAGCTTGATGAGTCCTGGGTGTAAAAAGAGGGAACACACAAAAAAGACATGGGAGTATTTTAAAGCAAATTTCTGTTTCTTTATTCAAGAAGTTTAATTATTTAGGTAATTTCTTACCAATTATTTGGTGGTTGCTATTCCAAATAGGGACACAGAGAACAGATCTTATGTGAAAACCAGATATCTGGTCTGCCTAGAAAACAAGAAAGAAGTTAATTAAAATTGAAGCTTAACTATTTATTTCTGATTTACATTTTACCATTCTTTATAACAGATATTCAAAAATAACTTTAAAAAAGTTATTTTATACGTTATAACCTAATTTTATAATGCATAAACTCACTCACCTGCCTCCTTCATCACAATAAACATCCTACAGAAATCAAACCAAAGCCAAATATGAATCAACCAAAAAAATCCCAAACCAACCTCCTCCAATCCCTGTAACCATAGAGAATTGGACATGAAACTGTCTTGATCAAGACCACACCAGCAGACAAGAATTCCAGCAACTGTTTCTTCTCTGAGTATTTAAAGCACTTTAATTAAACCAGTGATCAATATTTATCTTTGAACACACTTGTTAGTAAAAAGAGTTTGTGCTTATAATGCAGTCATATTTATATTTATTTTTAACACTGTATATTTTAATTGTTACTAAATTATTACATATATTGTCAAATCTATACACAAAAAAGGTAAGATAAATGTAGAGGCTTGAAAATCTTCTTTCTGTTCCCCAAAAGATATCAGGAGGTGATAGATTTAAAACATAGAGGTATAATTATCAATATCAAACATTGAGTAACAAACTCCATTTAATATTACAAACAATGGTCAATATTTGAATCATTAGAGAGAAACTGCTAAGAGTGAAAGGGTCTTAGTGAGTTAATATGACCTTGATTTTTAGTGAGAAAGGTCAATCTACTGTTCCAATACAATAGGAGACAACAAGAAGATATCAAGGTCTTGGATCACGGATATTGAGATAATAAGACATTTTAAACTATTCTTTGTTGAAGGTAAGAGTGACATATTTTAAACACTTGAAACTGAAAGTTAATTTACACACCTAAATCTTATATTTGGATGTCTTTCTTTTTGACATTTCTCTTTGATATGTTAATTTTCCAGTACCTTCTATTCATTGTGCCAATATGTTAGTTTCTATTTTTCAATGTTTTTCATGTAGAAAGGCCCAAAAATTGTAAGTACACAGCTTAGTGGATTTTTTACAAAATGAATAGACCTATGCAACTACCATCAGGATCAAGAAATAGAATATTATCACCACCCCAGAAGCCACCTTCATGCCCCTTCCCTCTTCCCAAAAGACGACCACTATATGGCCTTCTAACACCATACATCAGTTTGCTTACTCTTAACTATATACAAAAGGAATCACTGAATGTGTGTTCTTCTGTGTCTGGCTTCTTTTGCATATTATGTTTTTGAGATGCATTCATTTTGGTCATTTTCATGGCAGCATGATATCCCATTATATGAATATAATACTGTTAATTCACTCTATGCTTGATAAACACTGGGTTACTTCCAGTTTGTAGCAATTACATATAATGCAATTATCAAAATTCTTGTACATAGTGCACATATGCATTTTGGATAGGCATATACCCATAATAGAATTGCTGAGTTATTCACATGTTCAGCTTCAATAGATATATTTTTAAAGTTTTGCAAAGTGGTTGTACCAATTTACCTTCTAACCAGAAGTGTATGAGAGTCCCAGTTAATTTACATCATCACCAACATTTGATGTTGTCAGGGTTTTTTAAAAAAATTGACAATTCTGATAGATATGTGGTTGTATCTCCTTGTGAAAGAAATTTGATTATCTCTGATGACTAGGGTGACCATAAATTCTGGTTTAAGTCTGTTTCCCTGACATAATTATTAATAATATGCCTTTCATTCCCTAAAGTGTCCAAATTTGGCCAATAAATTTATGATTTTCTTACTTATGATTAATGAAGTTCAGAAACTTTTCATATATTTATCATCTACTTCTATTCTTTTTCATGAAGTGCCTGTTCAGAACTTTGGCCTTTTTTTCTAGTTGGGTTGTCTGAATTTCTAAAACTGGCTTGTAAAAGTTTCTTCTATATTCTAGATAAGAGCCCTTTACCGGGTATATGTATTATAAATACTTTTCTTATTCTATGACTTGTTTTTCCACTCTGTTAATGGTGTCTTTTGATTCAGAGGTCCCTAATATGATTTAGTCAAATATTTCAATTTTTAAATTTATGGTTAGTAGTTTTTTGGTCTTATTCAAGAAATCTTTCCATAGCCCAACCTCATGAAGATATTCTTCTGTTCTTTACCTAGAATCCTTATTGTTTTAACTTCCACATTTAAATTTACAAACCAACTGAAAATGATTTTCATGTATAATATAAGCTAGGAGTCAAAATTTTTTTTGAAAAGCATATTCGATTGATCCAGCACTGTTTTGAGTGAAAAAGCAATACCTCTCCCCATCACTCTACTGTGCCATTGTTTTCATTAATCAACTGTTCATATCTATTTGGATCTGTTTGAACTCTCTATTCTATTCCATTGATCTAGTATCTTTCCTTATGCCAATACCATACTGCCTTAAATAATATAGTTGTATCACATGGCTCAGTTTCTGGTAGTGCAAATCTTCCAACTTTGTCCTCCTTCAAGATTGCCTTTACTGTTTTTGGCCTCTGGCATTTGCATATCAATTTTAGAATCAATTTGCAGTTTATCCACATACACATACATTCCTGGGATTTTTATTGGTACTTTTTGAATCTATCAATTTGGGGGAGAATTGACACCTTTAAAAAACTGAGTCTTTCAATCCATAAATATCCCTTAATTTATTTAAGGCTCTTAAAATTTTTCTTAGCAAAGTTTGGTAGTTTTTCCATGTAGCATTTTTACATGTAATTTGTTATATATGTATCTTGATGTTTAAAAACTTAATGATATTGTAAATAATGTTAATATTTTATTTTTTAATGCTTGTAATTGGTACATAAAATATAATTGATATTTTAATATTTAATTAGTATCCATCAATCTTGCTACATTCAGTTATTAACTTTAATGTCTTACCTTTAAAGTGTTTTGAATTTTCCTGCCACATGATAACATCGTCTTATCCTTTAATTGTTATACATTTTACCATGTCATTTTAGATTATGTGATTTTTTTCTTTTTTAGTTTGTTAATAGAGTGAATTATATTGACTGATATTTGACAATTCCAGATGCAAAACCAAAAACATAAGCATAAATCATCCAGTGTACTCTTCCAAAAAATATTTATTTACCACCTCCTACACACCAGACACATTGCTTGGTATTGAGGACAGAAAAAAGAATTCACATAGTCATTACCCTTGAGGTACTCACAGTCTAGGAAAGATAGCAATATTGAGATAAAATCAGTGTCCAAGTAGAGGAAGTTCGAACACTATTGGAAAGACAACAACTGACTCTGTTTAGAGAAATCAGGAACAGCTTGAGACCCTTTACAGTGAGTCTTCAAAGACAACAGTGATGATGATAAGCTCACATTTGTTGGATAATCACTCTGTGTCTGGCACACTGCTCAGCAGTTTCTAATATATTATTTTATACTTTTTACAACCACCCCATGAAGCAGGTACTGTTATCATCCTCTCTTATGAGATGAGACTTATTAACTGCCTTGGATGGGAGAGGCTGACTCAAAGGAACACAGCCAAAGGCAAAAACGCATCCATCAAAGTTAACTTCCAAAAAAACAAACTGGTTTTCTTCCTCTCCCTAAGGATAAAATCTGAATTAAGGCAATACCAGTAAGCATGAAGAGAAGAAAGCCAATTTTAGAGAGGTTTCAGAGGTATAATCTATAGACTTAGGCTACCCACAGCAGCACTAGCATGGCTGGGTCTGCTTTGTTTTGCTGAGGGCAGGGCACATAGCATTGTGCTGACCACTGGGTCTGAGGCAGCATAGAGTAGTAAACACAATTGTCTCTGACAACTCTGGGACAACAGTAGCCCCTGTCTAACCTCTCCTACAAAATTTGGGCAGCTAAGGGACAGATCACAATGAGCAAGAAGAAAATGAACATGCAGTAAGAAAGATAATTTAGAAGCTGGTGGTGAGAAAAAAACTTTAGGCTGTTCACCAGTTAAATAAAAGAGAATGTTGTTTACCCATCACTTTTAAAGCATTACAGTTCTCCAAAAGAGTTTTTTATTCTGGGAAAGTGGGAGTACACACTCTCCCCTCCCCATGGAGGATAACAATGAGGTTTCTGGTTTGCATAAAGGTGGAAGAGTTCCTTGAAGTGGGGAACACAGGAAATTTGAGGGAAATAATACAAACTCCCAATGGACCCATGTTACAAGTGAGAGGGGCTGGAGATACTAATCTTGGAGTCATCAGTTCTCTGTGTTAACTGCATGGGTAAAATCACCAAGAGAAAATGTGTCCTACAAAAGACTAAAAATTGAACTTTGGGGGACATAATATTTAGTGCTAGAAGAAAAAGGTGACATCAGTGACAGGGATGAACAAGAACTACAAAGCTCATGCTTTTAACCCGAGGGCTTTATTGCATCTGTAATGTGTGAACAGATTTCTACAACCTTCCTGGAAATAGGTTTATTGATGTGTATCCAGAGCCTAAAAAGTATAAACACATACTCTTTGACCTATCAATTTCATATGTAGGAATTTATCCTGTGGTAATTATCAAAGCTATGCCCAAAACTTTACATGTAAAAGTGTGAACCATAGCATTATTTATCTAAGATAAATATTATTCTGATTTATCAGAATAACATGAACATTCAGCTGGAGGGAGTTGGTTAAGTAAATCATAGCAAATTCCTACAACAGAATATTATGCATCTAATTGAAATCATGCTATAGAAGAATAGTGACTCATAAGGAAAATATTTAATGTATTAAATGATAACAGTGTACATGCCTGTGGGTATATAAAAGCATATTATATACATTGAAGAACCCCAGAAAAATTATGACCATAATAGTTTCCTTTGAATTTCTTGGCTGTCTACCGTCATACCATGCTGAATGCACTTGATCTCGTCTGAATTTCTTTATGAGAATTTTAAAATTATCGTTCCTAGTTTGTAAATTTTAGATAATAAACACAGATAATTTGTCCATAAGGGAAGAA